CGAGATCCAACATGATCTCCGCAAACTCCTTCATGTATTTCCCGAAGGACAATTTCCACCTCTGCGGGCATAAGGCATCTTAGGTATGGCAGGTTAAAACCCCGCTTGTAGAGTTGGTCATTAATGATGAAGTAACGGATAGCCTTGTATCGAATCTGCTTAACTTGGACGTTGTCATTTGGAAGGGTGCCATGAGCAAGGAATCTATAAATCGGGGTAATCCAACTATCCCCCTATTGTAAGTTGCACACTTTCATAGCCATGGTGCTTGGAGCTACCAACAATTCGACCTGAATTTTTCTCTCAATTTTGTCTTTCACTACTGAGGCGAGGCGAGCGATCGAGCGATCGAGCACCAATGGTGAAAGGTAAGTGTATGCTCCCCAAAGGTTGCACGACATCACCGAAGAAGCTTATTAGAGGGGAAATCGAGCGATCGAGCAAGTGTTCAGCTACATTAATTACCCTGAAAGCTTCAGCAAACATGATATTGACCGAAGCCCCCGTGTCTACCAGGATTCGTTGTACTTCAAAGTTGGCTATGTGAGCTTCCACGATCAGTGGGTCGTTGTGAGGGTAGATGATACCTCTTTCTTCCTCAGGGTAGAAACATATTGGATCCCAGTTAGGCTTTTGATACTTACCTCCCCTGATGTTTTCCACGTAAAACACGTGGTGGCTAGACCGTAAAGCTCGTTCACTATTTTTCATGGCCCTGTTGGAAGATTTAGATATAGGTGTGCCACCACTTATGGAATATATCACATTCACCTGGCGTTGGTTACGATTACCCCTTGGAGGGTGAAGGAGGAATTGATCACTTTTTCCTACACGTGCCAAAGCTTCAATATGATCACGAAGGGTGATACACTTCTCGCCGTCATGGCCGTTATGCTCGCGGTAACAGCAAAACGTGCCCGTGTTCTTCGTGGGCTTGTAATCTGGGTGCCTCGACTTTGGCTTCGGTATCAGGTGTGCTATGCTGGGGTAAATGGCCATGCATATGGTGTTCAAAGGTGTGTATGCCTTATACCTCGGGGTAGGGGTTGTCTTGACACGTGCTTGACCCACTGTGTTGACAGCCTGGGGTCGGGGATTATCATGGCAATACCCTTGGTTATCGCGTAGTGTCCCTTACTCCTTTTACTAAAATGAGATTGGTGAGGATGGAAATTTTTCCTTTTGCCTTAAGATTGATATGTCTGTTGACTTGGCAAAGTATTAAGTAAGGCAGGGGGAGGCACCGCTGCCGTTTAGAAGGTCGAAGTCTTCTCATTTGGTTGGATCTAGCTTCCACTCCCTACTTGCTGATAAGGGGTGGCTGTGGGGGGTTTCCCTTGATATGTCCTTGCCTCAGCGGAGGCATGGTTGTACGCCTATGCCATCACCTCAGAGTAAGTCTTCCAAGTGTTGGCATTGATCATGTACTTGAAGAAACAATCACGTAGGTTTGCTGGGAAGGCCTTGAGGGCGGTCTTGTCATCTGCCTCAACGCAGCGAGAATACTCATGGCTGAAACGACCGGCATACTCTCTTAGTGACTCGTCTGGCTTTGGTGAATAGTGTACAAGTTATCTGCAGAATGCAAGCGATCGGTCTGGAAGATGTGTTGAGAGACAAACAGTTTCCTCAGTTCCTCAAATGAGTGTACTATCTCAAATGGAAGACGACAATACCAGTTTAGAGCTCCGCCAAAGAGGGTGGAGAGGAAGAGAAGACATCGCTATTCGTCGATGTGCATCCGATATACCATGATGGACTCAAAGAGGTTAAGGTGTTCAATTGGGTTCTCTCTTCCAGTATAGAGTTGTAAACCAAGCTTTTGTTTTATCTTCGCTTGAAGGGGGTGTCGAGGATCCTCTTTCTGAGAGGGCCAAGCCTGGGTTGGTTCCAGTCAGGTATCTCGGCCTGACGTTCGCCTTTCAACTTGTTTACTTCCTCAATGAGCTGTAGGACAAGGAGGTCCTGAGTGAAGTCATGTACCACTGGGATTTTCTTTCGTAAGTCTCCATCACCTCTTGGAAGTAGGAAAGTTTGAGCAAGGGAGTGTGATTTTTCCTTGGACTCGCCGTACTGACTTCTAGAGCGAGTCTGTCAGAATACCTCAGAGTCCCCTGTACCTTCATGTTCTTCTGAGACCTGTCGTTCCTTCCCTAGATTGGCAGCTGGCCTTGGTCGTGAGAGGGGACCGAGTCTTTCAGAAACCCGTGGGTCATTGATTTTCAAGCATATGTGGAGGGGATTCTCTCGACATTGCTTTAAGAAGTCTCGGCCGTCACGATAAACGACTTTCGATCCTTCCAACCCTTCTGCAAGGAGGTGTCTTCCTCCACTTCTCCTGCTTCGGGTCCAAGCAACTGGGTTGAGAGAAGTCTCATGTTGATCAATGTTTTGATGATTAGCTCGCTCCTCATCAGGGATACCCATATCGAAGGAAGGTGACCCTCCGTGTTGGGGGGCACCCAGATGATGGTTGATGTCCACAGGGGTAACGAGCTCGCGTGTTTGAGTACGCCTAGTTTCGTGGAGCGTCTCAAAAAGGTTCTCATACTGCTCCTAGAGGACCTCATTCTTCATTGCTATCTTGTTGTTCTGAGCTTCTAGCTCATCAACTTTAGCTTGAAGAGCAACCCTCTTTCCTTCCTTCTTTCGTTGCCTCGCACCAAGTGCAAAAGGGGTGTCATTTTGTGTGCTATGGCTTTCTTGGCTCCCCATGTTGGAAAGGGATGCCTAGTTAAAAAAGAGTGTACAAATGGTGGAAACCAGCTTAACAAAGCTGAAGAGAGTGGGAATAAGTGTTGTTCCCACAGACGGCGCCAAATGTTGATGCATAAAATCAGTAGGGACTTTGGTACAACATAAAGTGTTAAGTTTGTGACCTTCGCTAGATTGCTCCGGTCATTAGTGTGGATAAGTATGTAAATGGATAAGGACAGGGAAGCAAACACAAGATGTACGTGGTTCACCCAGATTGGCTACGTCCACGGAGTAGAGGAGTTCTCATTAATTGTGAAAGGTTTACACAAGTACATAGGTTCAAGCTCTCCTTTAGTGAGTACTAGTGAATGATTTAGTACAAATGACATTGAGAAATATTGTGAGAGAATGATCTCTATTTATAAGAGAGAGTTTCTAGTTTCATTCTGACATTGACATGTGTCGTGTTGTGATTGGCTTCTGATGTTGACACGTGTCACGCTATGATTGGCTTCTAATGTCAACACGTGTTGCGCTGTGATTAGCCTCCTGGTTGGAGGGAAACTCTTCTGGGTCCTTGACGTTGTAACGTTGACCGGTGTTCAGTAGTTTCGGGATTCGTCAAGTATGGTACAAACAAGTGTATTCAAAATCTCATTTAAAACCTTAGAGTTTTATAGATTTTACTTGTTTATCTCCAACAAATTCTTGCTTCAAAATGTCCCAAGCTGCCTTTGCAGTCTCTTGCATTGTAATCCATAGGAAAATTTGTTTGGAGGCAACACCCTGGATGATTTCAAGTGTTGTTGCATCCTTAACTAGATGTTCTCACAACAACTTGCTTTCAGTTGCTATAAGCTCCTTTTCCTTCTTCGTTGGAGTATCAAACCTCTTTTTAACCAAATTCCATAGCTCATGTGACTGTAAAATGAAATCAAAAATTTTCACCATTAAAGATCGGTGCTCTTAGTTCTCCTCTACTGGATCCAGCCATATTAGACTTAGATCGTTGATACAAACATGAATCACTGCAATAAGTGTTTGCTGTGAATCAGAGTTCGAACCTTCACAAATAACGCCTAGAAAGCTCAGACCTAACTTGGCTTTGAGACCATGTTAAAGTAGATTTCTGATACAATTTATGAGAAGTAGTGATGAAAATAGATGATGAAATGGTCAGAGAATATTTAGAGAGCTTCGAAGAAGAAAGGAAACAATCAAAGGTCACAGAGAATGTGAATCTGCAATCCAATTCATGCCATCAAACATGCTGAGCTTATGAGCTCATCCATCTTATACTTCTATGAGATTATAACAATTGTCACTCACTAAGCCTTATGAGACCTAATAAAGTTAATTACTCTGAATCAATTTACTCAGCCTATGAGCTTGAGTTTTTACACAGATTAAAACATGTAAACACTCTCAAATCAGTTCTTCGATTTACACATCAACAATTTGTTGTTCTCTTCGGACTTATTTTTGTCGTTTCCATCAATAGAAATTTATTTACATTGGAGGTCACAGGTTAGAACCATCACTGAACTCATAAATAAGATGAAAGTTATTATCAATCTAGTAATTTAGATATGATTTATAGCTGACTTTTTAGCCAAAATTGTCTCTAAGATTTGCATAACTCCTCACTTTATTCATTGAGATTTGAAATCAATAGAATTTGTCCCTGAGTTTGTCCACCATCAATCGTTTTGGTCATTCCTTGAAAAATCTCTATTAAATAAGAATAGAATGACCAAAATACATTTAATTTTTGTCAAATCATTTTAGCCCATTGTTTAATAAATTTAGGGTATATTTGTCATTTTGATCCTTATTTGACATAATTTTGCACGGAATGACCATAATGATTGATGGTGAACAATCTCAGGGACCACTTCTATTGATTTCAAATTTCAATGATCATTTTGATTAAAAAGCCTTTATAGCTAGTATACCTTCAAAATATAAACAATATTATCAGTTTGTACATCTTATATTAGCACTCAGCCCATTCTTGTACGACTAAAATTTTTCTTTAACCTTATTTTTTTAATTAACAAAGTGCAATTCTTTGGTTACAAGTATTTACCAAAGCATGAAGTTTTGCAGATTATTTGATTGACACGATTTCTTGCATTACAATATTTCTATATTTCTAGGGTTCACTACCAAAGCGTGAAGTTTTGCAGATTATTTGATTGACATGAAGTTTTACCTCTAACACACCTTTGTTATTTTTTATTATTAATTTTCTTCAATTCATTTTATTTGACGGCTAAAAATCAAAAGAGGTGTGTGAAAAGTAAAAATGGATGTGCGGATAGCACTATCCTACCGCAAATTATGTAACGGTGATTAAAGGAATTCCAATGACTTGATATGTTTATTTTAGTAATCTAAAATTTATCTTCGCGAATAATACAAAGATACATTTATCGCATTTGGAAATTAAACGCCCTAATAGAGAAGGCAAAGATGAATCCAAAGAGCACTGTAACCCCAACATGCACTACTGCAACAACTCCCACAAAGTCATGTCTGAAACCAAAGTAACTTCTCAGAAATTGTTCGACAGTTTGACCATTATCGAGCATATCGTTCAGATCTCCGAACTGTGATGCGATCAATCCATACAAGGTCCAAGCCACCGGACACGCCCAGTAATACCATCTCCACCATATGGGAATCCTCTGTTGCGCAAGTGGAAAAATGAAAACAATGAAATATTAGAACGAGTTATATATCGCGAAAAATTCTTCTAGTTCATAAAAATAATCAACAATTACCGGCCGTGGGATGATGAAGCCTGAAAAGAGGTTCCACAGTGCATAAAATGCAGAGGAAACAATCGCAGCAACATGATGGTTTGGTGTCACAGCCACAGTCATCATGCCGTAAAATGTGAAGTACAACAATGTGAAGTACATGAAGAATAGGTACCAAAAGAATTTAACAAAAGTCATGTCAAATCCGATCATCACATAAGTTATGACACCATAAACAACCGCTTGTAGTAAAATATATGGGAGCTCAATCAAAACCTGTAACAAGGTAGAAATTAGAGAGAGAGAGAGAGAGAGAGAGAGAGAGAGAGAGAGAGAGAGAGAGAGACCTGAGCAAATGCATATGGCAAAGCAGAATACATCCCTGCTGCCTTTTCTCTATAGAAGACTGTTCTTTCAATAGCCACTATAGGCTGCACTGAGGTAGCATTTTGTATCCCGAGGAAGAGAACGGCAGTATACATAGAACCCATTGCATTGAACAAATCTTGTTGCCTTCTTCTGCATCAAATAATACAAAGCAAATCGAAATACAGGACAAATAGAGAAAAGAAAAAAAAGAAAAAAAGAAGAAAAGGCTAATGAGTTTCACCAACTCATTTCTTTGTTTCCTTGTTCTAACTTACGTTTTGGAGCCGAGGTTCCAGAACATTGACCCCAACATCAACGCTATGATAGTTGTGAAGAGCAATCTTACTGCATTATATAACGGGTTGCGCCAATATGACCAATGTTGTTTCCATAAGCAAGCAATGGTCTGTACGAGAAATGGTTGCGAGTATCGAGTGGGGAAATAGAGGTCCTTTGAAGGAGGAGCTGGTGTGCTGAATTCTTTAATAAGTTGCTTGTTTCTCCTGAACCATATTATGCCAAGCAATGATTTCAGCTACTAATTAAAGATATATAAACATATGGGAAGGATGTCAATATTTTTCCGTGGTACACTATTATACCATGTAGGAGTGAAATATCAATTAACAAACCTGTATAGCTCTGAATTTTTGTAAACTTGGGCAAAATCAATCCCCAAAGATAATTCTTGTGCTGAAGTCGTAGCTTCCAGCATCCAAGTTGCTGGATTATAACCGTCTTTTATTTTACTGACTCCTTCAATTCCCTTCGTTCAAATAAATGAGTGTTAACGTACAATTAACCCATGTTATTGAAATGAAGGAAGAATTTAAAACATTCATTGTTGCATTAGGGAAATAGGACCATCTACTTGTTCGTCCATCACATCCTACCTCAAAATACTGGATTAGATGGCAAGAGTGGCGACCCAATGGCCCGACATATATTTCTTGTCCTCCTCGCTTCAGTAGGAGTAACTGCAATCACATTATTATTCTATCATACTCGAATATATGACAGAGAGAAAAGAAAAACTAGACTTGCAATCAATTAACATTATTATCACCTCATCGAAAGCTTCAAATATGTCAATGCTGGGCTGGTGGATGGTGCAAACAACTGTTCTTCCAGTGTCCACTGTGTTCCTAACTGTTCTCATGACAATTGCAGCAGCTCTTGCATCTAAACCTGAAGTTGGCTCATCCATAAATATTATCGAGGGGTTCGCTACTAGTTCAACTGCAATGGTTAGCCGTTTGCGCTGCTCAGTTGAGAGACCATTCACGCCAGGCAGCCCAACTAGCACTTGCCTCAATGGCTTCAGTTCTATAAGTTCCATCACTTCCTCAATGAACAACTGCAATTAATTCACAATTAGAAATCAACGTTATCACAACCAGTTATATATATATTTTTCCATACGGAAAGAAGAAAGAAAACTTAGGGCTTGTTTGGTATCCTACATGAGTTCAACTTTTTTAATTGAAAAACACTTTTTGAGTTTAGGCGTTGAATTCTTGTTTGGTAGGGTTTTTTATAAAAATTGGATTCAAAACTAGCTTAAAAACATAGGCTATTTCTTAAAAACACTAAAAGTGAGTTTTTAGAGTATTTTTTTGCTTTCTCCTCAACATCTTTTTTTTCTCTCTCCTAACCCTTGCTTTTTTTCTCTCTCAAAGCTCTTTTTCCTCTCTTCCCACATCACACCCCGTCCTCTCTCTCTCTCTCCTCAACCTTTGTCTCATCACCCTCTCTTTCTTCTCACTCCCCCTCACCGTAATTTTTTGCTCTCTCCCTCACCACCTTGCCCTCTACTTGTCTTTCTCTCTCCTCATCAACAATTTCTTCTCTCCTCTTTCCCAATTCTCTCTCTCTCCTCCAATTTTTGCTCAAGGTAGTTTGAATTCAAACAAAAAAAAAAATATTTTAAAAACTCAACCAAACAGATTTTTGAAATTTGAGATTTAAAAGAAAATTGTTTTTAAGTGTTGTTATTTGAAAATTAATTTTAAAAACAATCAAAGTTTTTGGATAGAATACCAAATGGCCCTAAAAGACTTTTTTTTTTTTGTTAAAAAGGTTAAACGGCTTGACAGAAAATGTAAGGGTTGTTTGGATTGTTCACGATCACACCCAATTTTCTTGTTTTGTAACACTAATCATAAACCCTGAAACATATTCTGGTTTTAGATTTATATATTATCACACTAACCTTTCTGGTTTCAGCCTTAACTTCTGATGGCAAACGAAGCCATGCTGAGTAGAGCAAAGACTCATGGACAGTCACATGAGGGGAGTGGATGTCATTTTGTTCACAATATCCAGAAATCCGAGCAAATGTTTCTTGCTTCTTTGGGTAGCCAGAAATTTTGACGTCTCCTTCAATATATCCGCCAGTCTTCCTACCCGCCAATACATCCATGAGAGTGGTTTTTCCAGCACCGCTCACACCCATCAAAGCTGTTAAAACACCTGGCCTGAAAGCACCACTCACCCCGTTCAGAAGCACTAATTTGTCCTCTACGACACCTTGGGTCTTCATTTCCTGTTAGTTCAGATCATTTCATGTTAGTTCAGACTTCGTTTGGCATAACTATTCTCTTTAAGTAATTTGACAAAACTACACCGGAAAAAGTAACCTAACAAAATGATCTAAAGCACTTCATTCGGTTTGAAGTTACCTGTGGCATGTCAACTGAGTATATAATTTCATCAAAAGTGATGGAATAAGGTTCAAATGGAAGAACCATCCCTCTTCTGTTGTTACGAATAGCTTCTTGATTCCTACTCTCTGCATGCCAATTAAGATTTTGATGTTCATCCAAGAGCAAGAAGTACACAAACACACAAGCGTTAGAGGTATGCACATTATGGATGAGAATTAGCACCTGTCTTGGTTTGTTGACTTGAGCTATTTTGGCTGCGTGGTAACTGACTTGTTCTTTCTGTTCTTCCATCGTTTTCATTGCTTTGTGAATCTTCAGATTTAACAGCCTGAGGTTTCCCAAGTGCTGCATGGCAATTGTTTCCCACGTGAATAATAATCTTAATTCGTCAAATGTTTAAATGGACGGATAAGGTAAAGATACCCACGGTTTAGGTACGTGAGAGCGACAATGTAAAAAATGTTGAATAGTAATGCAAATCCAGCCATTGCCCCAACACCTATCCAGTACCAATATTCGTGTGGAAAGACTCCGTGGGACTTCAAAGCTGCAACTCCCAGAGCTACTGTTGAGTTTGGGAGCACCTTTTATTGGAAAGTAAATGCAGATATCAGATACGTTTAAAGAAACAAACACAAAATATATGAATTATCTTGCAGAGGTACGAATGCAAGATGATTTTGAAGGAAGTACATGTCTCCAACTTTTCCCGAGTAGTTCGTTAACTGATATTGCATTCTGAGCATACATCATAGGTGAAATCCAGTAACCCCAAATCCACCATTTTTTAATATCATCTGTGACATTAAGGAATTAAAGCATCATATACGCTGCAACAAAAGAATAAATACTGTCTCTCCCGTATGCATAAATGTTATGTTAATATATTGGTTACCTCTCGAAAGCACGAAGCCACCCAGTGTGAAAAGTATGAGCAATGCAAATGACCCTAAGGTGTTAGCAACAATTAAGTTCCTACACGCTGCTGCAAGAAAACGGAATAATGCAGAAGCCATCTGATTAACAAGTAACAGCAGTACATATTGCCTGAAAAACCTGCAGCATGTGCAAACAAAACCAAGCATCAGGGATCGGAATGCATGCAGAAGGACAAACAAGTTAGTTCTGATTTTTAACTTGTTTACCGATCAAAATTTGGATCAAATCCAATCACATAGTAGGTCATGAACACCCAAACTCCTACTTCTATAAATGCTATAGGGATCTTGAGAATCCATGTTGGAAGAGCAAATGCCCATGCAGGGAAGAATAGGAGGTCTCTTTGCTTATAAACGACGGGAAGCTTCATAATGGTCATCGAAAGCTCTGCCATCCCATTGAACATCACCATGACCACTGAGAAGAACAAAGCACCCATATAAACTCCTCCATCATCTACTGAATCACGGGGCATCTTTGTTCGTAGGAAGATTGTCATGGTGATCAGAGCCATGACTATCAACTAGAAGCAGCAAACAGAATTTTAACTAATTAATAAAGTGTTCTTTCTAAAATACTAAATGAAGAACTATAATATGTATATATATATTAAAACCTACTTGAGTCAGCCTGAAGACGTAGACAAAGGAATTCCTCTTTATGAGCAAATATTCTCTTGAGAAGCAAGCTTTCAACAGTTCTCCTTTTTTAAGACCATACTCTTTGATTGTCAAAGCTGCCGGGTGGTTTCTGCTCTTGTCGAATGGAATGGACAATTCATCTCCAAGTTTCTGTCCCACAAGGAATGATTGAAATGCCACCGAAAATTCCCTAACTGTTATGAAACTGTAGGGTTCATCTTTCCGTACCCAATACTGCTCCTGGTCTTTCCTTGATGTCACCTATAGAAAATTTGATGAAGTATACAATTCCATTGTTCTATGATAATTAGTAGGTGAGAATAACAAAGGATAATTTACAGCTAGCTACCTCTTGTAGGAAGTCAGCAATGGCTTTCCTCTCAGGACATTTGAACCCCATAGATTCAAAAAACTCAAGCACATGTTCGCGGGGACCCTGGTACACAATCTGCCCATCCGAGAGGAGGATAATATCATCAAAAAGATCGTAAGTCTCTGGTGCTGGCTGTAGGAGTGAGATGACTGCCGTTCCATTAAGAATGTGAATGCATTGCTTGATTGAATTCACAATTTGAAATGTCGTTGAGCTGTCCAAACCAGTAGATATCTCGTCCATGAACAATGCCCTCGCAGGTCCAACAAGCATCTCACCTGTCAAAGGATTTTTTAAGATCTTAAAAATGTATGCAGAGAAGAACAATTCGATGATGCATTATAAATTAGTTTTTGAATTTCTATACCTGTTGTGACACGCTTTTTTTGTCCTCCAGAGATGCCTCTTAACATTTCATCCCCTACTATGGTATCAGCACAGACTTCCAGTCCCAGAATCTTTTAAAAGAAAAGGACTTAGATATAACTGATTTAAGAAAATTGTTTAGGGATTTTTGAAAGGACTCTTATGATCAAAGGTAAACTTCTCGGCGTTGTTTACCTTTAGAATGTAATCTGTCACGACGTTCACCTCCTGCCCTTCTGTTGATATTGCCTACAACATTGGAAGCCAATAATTGGAACCACATGAAGCAAGCAAGTACTCTTAATTCGAAAAAAGTAAATAAATCTCATTCAGTTAGATAATATGAAGTACTTAAGAACTATTTCCGCCTATTATTATCATTGTCAATGTTTTTTTAAACTATCAGTTACAGTAAAAATTCCATGGTATGATATCTGCCAGAAGACTCCATGATATAGACTCTGCGCGTGTGCATGCAGATGCATGCGTGCGTGCATGCGTGCTTTTGTGTTCAACAGTGTACTGTAGCTTTATTTCTCACCTTCATGAAGACATCAATGACTGGATCAGGCTTGATATTAGCTTCTTTCTCTCTTCTGGACAATTCTGAGAGCATATCTATAGTTGGCCAAATAATTGAAAATGATTCATTTCTTTTACATATATACAAACCCGTTTGAATGTACCGTAAAAACAGTATGGAAGGAAAAGAAAGTAGTTCCACGAAATGAACTAACCATAACGTGTTCCGACCCCTTGGCATCTTGCAGAAAAGGCCAAGGTTTCCCTTACAGTCATTTCTCCAATATGAAGGTCATGTTGACCGATGTAGGCAGCAGTTCTTTGGGGTACAAATTCATTCATTCCATGCCCATTATAACTCACCCTTCCGGAAAGCTGAAGCGAAAAATTTTCTTTTCAAATTAGTTATGTGAATAAATTTCTGGACACCAATTAGAGAAAATTTAGAGCTTAAAGTGAGATTCCTTTTCACCTTTAGGTCCGGATCCAGCTTTCCTGCCAAAGCCAACAAGAGCGTGGTCTTACCAGAACTTGGAGGACCCAATAGCAATGTCATCCTACAAAATGCATCCAAAACAAATGAAATCTGGGAGCCCAAAATATCCTTTTCTTCTCCTTTTAGTGGTGAGCAAGTAAAACAAGTGCAAAGTAATTCCCTTTGCTCACCTGCTAGGCTTTATGATTCCGCTAACATTGTGGAGGATCGACAGATGAGTCTTTCTACTTGAAAGAATACGGAGACCAATCAAGATGTCCTTCAAGATCAATGGAAAAAGTAATTAAACTGTGAGAATAATATCGCGGAAAAGTCAATCAACAAAAAATACCAACTTCTGCATCTATGTTACCTCGATAATGTTAACACAGAAGTTAAAGAGTGTAGGCAAAGCTCTGCTGCCTACATAAGTTTCCGCTTCTATATTTAACTGCTCAAATCGAACTTCAATTGTTGGAAGAACAATTCCAACCCTGAAAAGTATTCAGAAACAACCCATAAAAAAAGTTCAGCTAAAACATTTAAGTACACATTTCCCTTGTTTGATTATTAAGAAACTTGCTAAATGCTAACAAATCAACATTCAATACAAAAACTTGAGCAATAATGTATGTAGAAAAATTATGTCCGTGTTAAGGACGGTATGTAACAATTTTACAACTATCTTTCTTCGACATCCACATGGTCAGATGGGAAGTGGCAGACTGCATGGAAACTGCTATCAGAGCCAAAACACCAATAAAAAGACTAGAGGCATAAACCTCCCATATAAATCGAAACTATTATGTCAAGTGACAATCGGTTCTTGCCTCTCACACGGCTTTATTTACCACCACTAAAGAATCCATCACCTGAATTTCATTGTAAGTTAGGCCTTCAGAATCCTGCACTAAACTGAAATCTGAATACCTTTTCTCTTGTTGACTTATCAATGTTCTTGAACCTATATAGAATTATTCTTTTCATATCTTAACTGTATATAAAAGAATAAAAAGGTCGTACCCAGTGCACAAGGCTCCCGCTTTACGCAGGGTCTGGGAGAGGTGAATGTCGGCCAACCTTACCCCCATTTATGGAGAGGCTGCCCCCAAGTTTCGAACCCGAGACCTACCGCTCATGGGCGAAGGCACTTGCCATCGCACCATAAAAGAATAATAATAAAAAATGGGATAAGGAGGATCTTATTACCTATCGATTCGATTCTTAAGCTTCAGCAAGAACCTCTCGTTGTCCTCATCGTTGCCTTTCAGGAACCTCTCAATCAATTCCTTTCTTTCTTGGAAGCCAAGATTTGGTATATCAATTTCACTAGCTTCACCACCCGGCATAGTGAGTATACCTTTCCTCAAACGGTTGTAAGTGGGAAGCTTCTCAAGTGCTGCCCATTTAAGAGCAACTTCTTCATCTTCTCCACGTGAAGACCTCGAAAAAACTTCCATACCATTGTTCATCCATCTCAAAGAACTGCCTAATTGGCGACCATTTCCGGCTCTATGTATATCACCGCTCTCCATTTCCAATTGGACAACGCAAATTGTTGCTGCAATCGCAAAAGCAACTAAAAACTGCCAAATGAAACACGCGCGCACACACAAAATAAAAACTAATTTCTTTCAAAAACTATTGCACCAATGGAGTCAAGATTTTGAATTCTGGTAACAAAAAAATTGGTCATTGGAAAACTTAATACAAATACAAGACTCTCGAAATAATGCAGAAGGGAAAACTATCAAATCCAAATTCCCAGGATTAATTTGATATTAGCTTCTAGAAGTTAAATCCTTAGCAAACATGCATTTTGTTCTGAAAATGTTTGATCAAATATTTAACTTTGAAATGCAAGGCTGTGAGAGCTTCAGAAATACAGGGCTCTTGGTAGTGCACTGGTGAAATACGGAAGAGGAAGACTGTCACAGACACACACATGCATCTATATAATACCATGTTAGGTTAGATAGAGAAAGAGGGGGGGAGGGAAAAGTACCATTTGTGCTAGTTTAGAACGAGGAAGGGGCGGGGGTGGGCCTTGTGTGTGAGTAGAATGTACCATGCTAGGCAGGTGTACCGTGCACGGCAGTGGAAGCCTTAAATCTCAAAGATATAAATTTTTCTTTCATGTATTTAAAATTGGCGCGGTAAGAACAAAAAATTACTAATTCCAGTCATTATACATATCTCACTCATTGCGAATAACGAATATTTATTGTATAAAATTTTATAATCAAAACCGTGAAAATAGTTCCCTTGAAATACAAGAAGAGATCGAGAAGGATACTCAAGACTTCTAGAAACTAAATCTACAGAATTTGGCTCCTAGAGTTTTAATGTCATTAAAATAAATGGAGGATATTGAGAATGAATTCAAATGATTATTTTTTGTTGCCACTTAGTACTACAGTTTAGTAGTATTTCTTGTCACTTGTAAGTGAGAGATTTTAGGTTTGATTCTCGCCAATAATGAAGTTGAACCACATTATTATCAATTGTTTAAAAACCATGTACAACTTGGTTTGCACCTCTGGATTAAGAGACAGAACTTCATATGAAACATGTGTCTTCAATTTGAGTTGATATTCAAACTACTAGAACATATTTCTGAAGTGTTTTATGAGTTATATGCGGAGTATTAATGTTTAAAACCGAAAGGAGACGACTCCACCTTCGAAAAGGAGTGAGAGTTTGTTATCTACGGACCAGACCGACCAGTCGCATTCCGTTTCAATTTTCCTTATTGAGTTAGGATTAGAATAGATTCATCATAACATCATATCACATTGACAATTGAAACTTATAGAAAGACGTCATTTTCCATCATAAACTTATGGTTTAGGGTTTTTGTCTTGAGACAAAATGTGAACGTGCATTAAATGTTAATTGAACCCCCATCTATATTTTTCTCAAAAGTCCTGCGGCCGGCCTGCTGGATTCTTAAAGGCATGTACGACGAGGTCACAACAAGCTTACACAACTTATTCAAATTTCTATGCCATAATCGTGGCCGGTTTGGCAACGCTCACATTATGCACATGATCTGCAAATGTCGTATGGATATTGGATGGAAGTTAGCAGTTACATCCTTTTCTTATTCCTACAAACAACACTCACATCAATTTTTTGTGTGGAGTTAGTTATTAGCACGGTAAAATAGTCAACATTGCACTAATGGTTATTGGAAAAACCAAAAGAAAAACGAATGCAAGATGATTATTTTAGGGGATTTTCTATGGTGATCTAGAGTATGAGATGTTCCGGACTTTTCAACTGTTCGATCTTTGTTTTAAAATTTCAAAAATCAAGATTTAATGTTTTAAAGCATCAAAGAATGTTTGTGGTTTTAGAAAAGACCTTCAACGTCTTTCATGCTCTTCATCATCTTGCACCCAATAGGAAAATTTCTTGAATCTGGCATTGCATCCGTCACACTACAGAATGGCGCAGAGGTGGCTTCAAACTGGTGTCATTTTCTATCTACAAAAGTTTTCCAATCGTCAACAACCATGTTGTATGGTTTACAAACTATAATTGAAATTGATGATCTCTCTAACATTACTCAATTAATTAATCTATGCTGCTTTGATCACACACAAAAGTTTATCTAGACTATTAATGAAAACCCCTTGTAGTTGATCCGGTGTGCCTAAAAAGGACACCTTACCTAAACAACTAAACAAGAAGACTAGCTTTTAGGTTTGGCTTCCAATTCAATAACCGAACCACCTCAAAGGGAAGTTCAATGAAGGAAAGTTATCTAGGTTTTATTCAAGTTTGGTATATGACTGTAAACCTTAAAAGCTTAGAGTATCTCCAAGAGATGTGTAAAACAACCAAAAAACTATTTTAAAGAGATAAATTCGAAAAATTCATCTCCAAGAGATGCTATAAAAGAGTTTCAATTATAGCAAAATGAACAGTCAGTCTTTAAATTTAGAGGTAAATATTCACTTGCTAAATATTAAAAATAATAAAACTAGAGGGTGGATTCTTGACCAAGGAGAAAAGGAAGTGATAGAATGTTGTTTTTAGAAAATGAGTGGATTGAGTTTGAATGTTAATAATAAAAGAATAATACTTGGCTACTTAAAGAATGAAGAGGAGCTTCCCCTGAAAACTTTTTGTTGCCGAACTTTGTGTTTATGATCAGAACTGTTCATATTATAAATCACTCTATAAAACATTACGAACTGTGTATGTATTTGTTGCAATAGATTGACTAAACGACCATAGTTTTAATTCATTTTTTTTTTTTGCATGAATGATTTTTATAGAATTATTCATAATACGAATAGTTCTGATTATAAGTACAAAGCTTTATAAATCAAACACAAAATTTTGAGCAAGAATTCCTACTCATCCTTGAGTAGCCAAACATTGTTCATAACAAAATATTAAAAATTTGTTAAAATAGAGAGTGTTCTTGGAGATGAAAAGTTAAAATGAGTAGCTAAAATATTGGGGTGTGATATCCACACACCATTTTTTACTTCTCTCACACCTTTGTGGTTTTCGGCCGTCGGATCGGATGAATTAAAGAAGATCAATGGACAGAAATTAACAAGGGGTGTGTGAGAAGTAAAAAAGGATGTGTAGATAGCAAACCCCAAAATATTTTTTTACGCTATTCACTTGCTATTTAAACAAAATTATTGAGTTTCTCTCAGAAATGATATGACCAATTTGAAATTGGCCTCATAGTTTGGGAAGTTTTATGAAGTTGATTTACAAAAACATTTTTACCCGCAAGCAATGGATTGGTTTAGTAGTTAAGAGTTTTTCTCTTGAACTCACTGCAACTCGGATTCAAATCTTCCCCCTCCGCTCACTCTACCATAAAATAGCAATATCAATTATATTAAAAATAACAACATTTTACCCAAACAATTATTTGCATCTAGAATGCTATTATTGATGCAAGTGCTGGATTGTTCGAATATACCTTCCTCTTCAACCTAAGCCGTCTTAACTCAAACCCTCCCTCCTCCCTTCACAGTAGATTAGAATAGTGATATTTGTTTTTAAAAAAAATGAGAAGAAAAAAATGCTATTGATTACTACATATTTAGATTAAAAGTTGCATGATTCTGTTTGAACCCAAAAATTACTCCACGCATCCACCAAAAAAGAGATTTAGTACAATCCTGTTATATCCTTCTGATCGATGAGCTAATTTAACTAAAGTTTTTTTAGATACAAGATTCAAGAGTCATTGGGGGAGGGAGGATAGAATACAAGACTTCACGTGCAACAATAAACACTTTTAATCACCTTAACTACAATTCCGTTACAACTTGAGCTTTTGGGAAATATAAAAACAAGAAGTATGCAGTAGAATCTAAAACAGCAGCACAGGAAAAATTTGGTGAATTTTGGTCTTTCTATCATTCTCTTAGAAGCCAACATGAACGTGTCAAAAGTGAGAACAATCTTGAAAGTACCACCAACTGTGCATATATGTTAACAACACCACCTTTTTCTGTATGTAACCTTGAAGGGTTTACCACATTATGATTCTACTCTCCATAATTCTCTTTCCCTTTCTCATGTCTAGCATTACCATCAGCGATTTAAAAAACTCACCTTTAAGTGCACCTAGGTGGCCTTGTAGGTGGGCCAGGGCGGCATCAATTTCACTTCTATTTTGTGGAAGTCTATGAAAAACTCACCTAGCTTTTTCGAGGCACACCTAGGCTGCCGAGGCACACCTTAGGGCATTCGATTTTGGGCGTCAACTTTGTTTAAAAGTTGACAAAATCTAGAAAAAATCTGGTTTTTTTATTCAGTTGCAGAGAATTTAAGAAGACGAAGAAGATGAAAGCTTTTGTGGTTGATTTTTCTCTTTTTTTTTTTTGCTTTCCTAACAGCTCTTAATAGCATATTCTTTTAGTAGAATGAGGATCCTCACCGGATCAATCAATCATGCAGTCATGAATCGTGTCCTTCATCGTATATCTTGTCCTTCAATCGTGTCCTTCATCGTACATTGTGCAGTTAGTTTTCGTTAAGTACTATTTATATTCAATCTAAACAAAATCAAAATAACTTCTACTACACGATGTACGATGAATGGACACAATTGATTGATCATCCGGATCTCCACAAAGAGGATCCCAAGAGGATCCTATTCCCTTTTAGTAATCTTTTTTGTAAGTTTATGTTTTATATTACTAGCAAGAGTGCCTGTGCGGTGCTGCAGGTTTTGAAACTGTATAAAACATGTGGAATGCTTTAAATATATATGATAAGTCATAGTACTTTTATACATACAGTTGAAAATTGTTGGCACAACAGGTCCTGCAATGACAAAAACATTAAGCATTATTAACCAAATATGTAACGTTTATGTCAAATTTTATATTATGTGCAATTTGAACTATGGATGATAGCGATGAGAAAACAAAACATGTGTGGTTTGAGCTATGACCTTAAACCTTAAATACTTTATGAATCCAAGTTTTACAAATTATTTGCATTCAAACCAATCAATTGAATTATGCTAAAACAAATTTGGCCTAAAGTGTTTAAACAGTGAAATATAAACCCTCATTTTGCAGAATTGTTTACTTAGAAAAATGAATGCATAAATGGACAAAATGGTGTTCTAGAGAAAAGTACACAAAATGTGAAATCTAAAGTGTTTAGCATACTTAAAATGGCTTCTAGGAATTGATTTGTTCAATGAGATAAAGAGCGAAAGACATAAAAATCAGATCGCACAAAACTTTTTTGTGCGTCCATTGGTTCATTGTTAAAAAAAAATTGCAAAGGAGACATTTTTACCTAATTTTTCATAAATGATGGTGGAGCAGCAGCTGGTGCGGTTTATTTATAATTTGAAAGTAGGAACTCTTCGATGACGGTCCGTATGTGGAACAAGGACTTAATATTAATAAGCATTTGACCAAAGAGTGATCCAATTCAAGTTCACGGGATTAA